TGGAAAGCTGTATGACTAGTATTTAATCGGAAATCCTGTTAACCCGTATCGGAATTGCATTCATTTGTTCCTATTTTCAAATGTTAGGCATATTTTCTTTCAATAAGTTTAGTCGAAGTCATAGTCTGTGGCACTGGAAGGGACTGTCGAGGAGAGGCTGGAGTTGCCATTGAGTGCCAATTCCTTCCTCCGCCGGTTTGAGTTAAAAACTCTGTTTCCGAAGGATTTCCTTACTTTCCGTTACAATACTATAAGTTATGAAACGCTTTTACTTCAAGAAAGAAAACTTTTACCAAAGGATTCATATCAAAGGATAACTACTAGCGCTTCAATTCACTGCAATCGGCACTCACTTTCTGCCATTGAATTGAGCTAAGAAATGGCTGCACTGGTAGGCAGTGGTAGGCATTGGTATGTTGGTAGTGGTGGTGGCACTGAGTCTCCGCTCATATCCGTTGACAGCAGTGTTGGCCGGAAAGGAGTCCATTAGCCGAACCTATGCTCTCCATCAGAGCTCTTTCACTCGACATCACAACTAAAGACTTGACTCTTTTTTGGCCACTAATGCTCTTTTCAGCACTTTTTCATGCCATCCAAACATGTTGTTCACATCATTCATACCATAAGCCATTGTCTTACAAACTATTCATACATTTATTAATTCTTGCAGTCATTCACTCGACTAAGTGCTGCAAATCAATACTTCATTTAGTTTTAACTTTCATTACAATACTAGCCAATGGTTTGCATTTGGCTTTCAATACGTAAACCATTAGCAGTTGATTGCCTACAAGTTCACCTAAAAAACAAATTCTCATTATTAATTATACCTATTATTGAAAATGTTTACAAAAACTGAATTTACGTCAATTAAACTCATTTTATCATTACTTCAACGACAGAACTATAAGATTAGCCATTATTTACTTCTTATAAGTGCCGTCTTATTAGTTTCACTACATATTTAACATATTTATGATTAATCACGCAAATGATGAACACATTAGCTATTAATCTATTAATTTTTTATTCATTTAAATGTCATTTATTTGAATCACAATTTCTATTAATATTTATCAAAAAGTAATACATTTTAAAGGAATTAACAAAAAAGAGACAATCATTTCAAAGAACTTCTATTAAAAGATGTCAGAATTGGTGATAATGTCATGTCTTCACATCAATTCTCGTCCCAATTCTCTTCATCTTTCTTAAGCACCAAATCATTGGTAACGACGGCTTCTGTGGTCTCTTTGGCTCCGGCGACGCCTTTCCACTTGTTTTGCTGATCAATGACAGCGACTCTGTTCTCGCATTTGTTGAGGTGATCCACGAGACCATGTCTTGGCATCCGATGCATCGCATTGAAGGGACAGATGGCCAGCAATAGGTCGCTCTTGCGCTCGCATTTCACCAAATGAATGGCCATCCGATTGGAGGGCACCTTATGGTTGGGATCGTACGGACACGTCTTGTATGCCTTATTGATGGTGAAGTCACCCGTAATTGTGGCCATAATTGAAGACAATTAGCTCTTAGATGTGATCAACGATTGCGTCAAAGCTTGAGATAACGCGAGACTAACGGCAACTGAATGCCAGTTGTATTCAATGGCAATAGAGTTCACTGCAAACACTCTGACAATGCTTACAATGCATTCACATATGAAGTACTCATTGGCGACGGCGAAGGGATTCGCAATACTCGTGACACTTATATAGAGATCTCATAGGAGTTTATGAAATATATCAACACAAGGGGTATATTTGATGGCAAATGTGAACGCATTGTGTGAATAGCCCTCTAGTATTGCACAGAAATAGTGAATAAAATTAGTTTAAAATCCATTCAATTATTTCAATCACACGAAGACATCGACAGTAATGGACATCACGTTTGACACAAACGACAAGATTTTGTTGGTCTCCAACAAAGAGTCACCATTTGATCCGACATTTGTGGACACAGTTGTGGCAAAAGTGAGCGCAAAGAATGCATTCAATGAACAGTTGGATAATTGTAAGCATTTTGCAATTCATTTGCCTATCAATGAAGTAATCATTGTCTTAACCATTGGATCAATTGATAGTGTCGTCCATTGATAAGGATTTTGATGTTATCTTGAGTTCTGTCCAACAAATGGATGACAAAACTCTCGCGATTTTGTTGTCTTCGCTTAAACCGAAGGGTCGGCTAATCGTGAGAAAGTCAAAGGACTGTCAGTCCGGACAGACTGTGTCTTCACTTAAATTGAATGGTTTCGTGAATATCAACGAAACCGTTGATGAGATCACTGCCCATAAGCCCGACTACGAGAGGGGATCAGCCGTTAAGCTAAACCTTAGCGGCAATAAGTCATCGACGGCTAAGATCTGGTCATTGGCTGCGAACGACATAATCGACGATTCGGTCGATTTGATTGACGACAACGAGCTGTTGACCGATGAGGACAGGGCTCTACCGGACCCGCAGTCGTTGCGAGTGTGCGCCACAACCAAACAGCGCAAAGCCTGTGCCAACTGTTCGTGCGGTTTGGCCGAAGAACTCGAGTCCGAAGCCATTGAGTTCGTGAAGCAAAACTCACAGAACGCCAAGTCTTCGTGCGGTAACGTATGTGTCACTCACGAGCAGACATCACTTGCAGACATGATGTAATGCCTTTTGTGTCTCATTTTAGTGCTATTTAGGCGATGCCTTCCGGTGCGCCAAATGTCCGTACCTGGGAATGCCTGCGTTTAAGCCTGGTCAAAAGGTGGTGCTCGACACTTCCAGTGATCTATAATCTGCCAAACGTTTCTCAAATATTTTTTTATCATTTCGACATTTATTTAATGCTTTTTAGTCTTAAATGTCTCGTAATTTACCACAAGTTCAAGAGAAATATCTTATTTATAGACCAATTCTTACGGTAGTTATGAAACTAAAACATATGACATATTGACTGTACTGTAGTAAACATTTTATTAAATTCTGTCCAAAAATAGTTATAAATTATTGAATCAATTATCTGTATATTACTGTAAAAGTGGAATATATTATTAAATAATACAATCAAATAATGGCTGAATGTGTGGAACCGTTAGCTGTTGTCTGTGAGCTGTGGTCGCAGTTCTGGTCATTCGTTGTCTGCGAGAGAAGCCCTAAATCACAGCTCTTTATATAATCACTGGTTCTGAAGATCTCTTTCGGCTCGTATTTGGCGTTAATTCGTTTGAAATGACTTTGTTTTGCATTACTCGACATCAGCGACGAGAAGAACTTCTTGACGCGATTGTTGTTGTCGTCGGCGAACAGCTGTTCCGCGCGAGTCATCTCTGCGTCCATGTCTTCGACAGTGTTTCTGACAATTTTGACGAATTGCTCCAATTTGTCGATTTGCGAGTATATGGTGTCCATCACTCGACACTCTTTGGCCACCTTTTTGGACACTTCCTCCACACAGATATTGCTGTCGTTTCTAATCATTTCAATTAATCCGCAAAACTCTTCCAAATGTGTCAACAGATCTTCGATGGCGTCTTCGGTCTCCTTCTTCTGTGGACACAATTCACTCAATTAGAGGATAATTCTCAAGACATGTCATAACAAACCTCTGGACTGATGTCAAACTGGAAGTAATTGAAGTAATCTTTACTCAATTGTCGACTAATTCTTAGCAAATCGTTCTCTTCTTCTACTTCTTCTTCGGCTTCATTTTCAATGTCTTCTTCGGGCTCTTCGTTGCCATCGTTTGCATGGATTACGTCCTGTGAGTCACTGTTAAGAGTGATGTCTTCGTACTGTTCTGTGGGCTTATTGTCCATCACTTGTGCATCAAATGTAATACTGAAGACAATGAAGACAACAAAAAGTGGTAAATGTCTCAAAAATGTCAACAAATGTCTCATAAAATATGTCTCAAAAAAGTTTCACATTTTTAGGCAAATATTTTCCATTCATTTGAAGTACTGATTAGGAAAGCAATTAAAATTGAATTAAAACTTATGTTTTGATTTAATTGTAATGAAAACTAATGACAAAAGCATTGATTTACTGATTGTATGAATTGCTGAGTGATTGGCCTTTTGATCGTAATTATTGTCATTTGTATTGAAATGTAAACACAAAACAAGAGTTTAAATGACAAACACTTGCAGTGAATGACTGAATGACTCACGAATTGACTCAATGTTTGCGTCAATTGATTGTCATTTCAAATGAAGTGTTGTTTGCATTCACACCACATGTATTGACATCTCATTTGACCACAAGAAATGAGATCCCATTATAAGGTTGTGGTGTTGGGGGCCAAACAGTGCGGGAAGACATCAATTCTGGATCAAGTGATCAATGGATCCAAACGCAAGTTTAACACCAATTATGAGCCAACCATTGAAGACATCTTTGGGGCTGTTGTCGAGACTGATAGACAAACCAAAGAGAAGATCTATTTCTTCGACTTCTCGGGAATGGTTTGTATCATAAAGCTCTTCGCGAGTATTGACTAATGAGTTGTATTTATCTGATCCGAAGAGCGCTCCACTCAATATTGATGCCATCAAAACATACCTGTCTTACGCTGACGTGAGTTAACCATCATTTGAGACAATTGTGGCCATTATTTGATTGGTTTGCCATTTCTTTGACATTGATTTGTAGGCATTTGTATTGATTTATGCCATAAACGACAAGAATTCGTACCTCATTGTGGATCACATCAAGAAAGCCATTGACAGACATAAAGACAGAGACAAAAGAGATGTGATTATAATGAATGAGATAAAAGTCATAATTAATGAGATTTATTTGTGTCCAAACAGATGCCAATCGTGACTATTGGCACAAAAGTGGACAGATTTCGTGAACGGGAAGTGGATTTCGATGAATCTCAGGGTTGGGCTCAACGAGAGAAGACTCGTCTCTTCGAAGTGACGGCAACTGAACGCAAATCTCTGATCGAGCCGTTCGTCTATTTGGCTTCAAAGCTAAATCCGCCACAAAATAAGACAACTTTCCCTCAATTGCATCGAAAATCAAAGACTGGAAACATATTGTCACTCGAGTTATAGCCATACTATAGTCTACAGTACTTATGACGGAAAGGACAGCATTTTATGAATCTTTTTCAATATTTTTATAATCATTCAAACATTAGTTACAATAATCTCAACAATCATTAGTAATTAACAAAAGGTCCGAAAAGGTATTCAATGTGGTGGGTGTAAATACAATGTTAAGACACAACCCAATCGTTTTAAAATATATTTATTGCCTGTATTTTAGATTTTAAAGTATCCGTTATTCGAGAAATGTTATGGAAATGACTTAATTTTATTTAAATATCGTATTAACAAAATATTTTTTATACCGTACCTGTTAATGTATTAGTCGGTGATAGTTATAACTTATAAGGTAATCAAAATGCAAATCAATCAAGCTGTTAATCCTATTGTCAAATCAGTTACAAGTTTTATTTAAAAATATTTAAGATATTTATTATACTACATAGCATGCTATATAGCGTTATATTTAAAGGAAAACGTACAGTATATTAATGTTAATTATATCATATGTTCATTATATAAATATATTAATGATACCATATTTTTAATATTTTGATCAAAACCATAATTGGCAGGATATCATAAATTTTAAAGCAAAAACAAAAACAAAATTATTTTCTCATAATCAATTAATATTTAAGACATAGTATAAATATTTTTGGAAATTAATGTTTATATCAAACTTTATTTAAAATCTCATTAAGAATGTTTAATAAGTTACCCGTACAAAAATAGTTTGTCATAGAATATAAGATTTCATATGAATTTATTGTGAAAAGTATTACTGTAAAAGTATTTTATGGATTAACTTTAAATAAAAAATACAAAAAACAAAACATTTATTTAGACAAACTAAAAATAATGTGATTAATTGTATGTTAATTATCAACACATTTTTATAGTGGTTTTATTTTAAAGCAATTAATTAGCAGTTATTCCAAACGCATGGTTCGTATGCTGTATGTTATGGAAGTGAAAAACATCGGATCTTTAATTTTCAAGTAATGCATTTCAAGATGAGTTTCAGTGACACAAATGGCAACACTTTTAATAGAAAGAGGAAAGTATAGCAATGATTAGAGACAAAGCATGTATAATGTGAGGAATGCATTCATTAATCATTAATATGATCCACATTTCCGATAAGAAAAAGAGTTTTTTGCTCTTTTTTTGAGTAACCGTTATCCCACTCGACATCACTTGGCATTGGATGTATCGCATGCCTCTTATATGTCTCTTAAATGTTGGCATTTTGTCTCACAAGTCAGCCACAGCTCCGCCACAGACTCACTCCTTCCTCATCCCTCAGCCCTGAGCTGACGATCGGTTTATTTATTTATTTTTCACTTTTCGTTCACAAGTCTATGCAATAAGAATCTCGCGATTCTGTGTTCTCTAAACTTATTTATGAGTTTTGTTGTCAATTATTTGGTTTCATGCTCGCAGACATAATATACAGTTATATCATAAATGATTGGTTTGTGTGGAAGAGAGCATGAATTCAAACAACAGAAGACTTAAACGTCAGATGAGAGATCACAACCAAACTGTTTGCGTGAGTAATGCAACCAATTCTCGATCGCCTAATGATCTCAAGTCCAGAATATTTATTGGAAATCTCAACACAAGTGTTATAACCAAAAGACATTTGCATTTGATTTTTGCACAATTTGGAGATATTAAAGCAATTTCTATGCATAAGGGTATCAATTCTTAACAAATTCTTATAACTTATATATTCATACATTTTTGCTGAATAAATATTGTTTTAACAATTGTTTGTATTGTAAATATTATTCTTCATTCAATAGGCTATGCATTCATTCAATACGACGACCAAATGGATGCACTGAATGCTGTGTTAGCTCAAGACGGACAGATGATTACGGGCCAGGCTATAGGTTAGACATTCACCTGTTTTGTAATTATTTAACAATAGAGTCACTGATGATATAATAAGTTAAGTAATCATATTAGATCTCATTAATAAGTTTTTTGAATAGACAAAAATAAACTTAAATTTTTCAATGATTGCTAATAAAGATTAGTTTAAATACAAGAATTCTCACAACTCTTAATAACTATTAAAGTGAATATGAGTTAAAAGTGATTCTCGTATAAAGTTGATCTGAATTTATATCATATCCTGTTATTCACACAAATCCTATTTTATGAACAGATGATGTTATAGTTATGTGAATGTAATACTCTCTTCAAGTATAATATTGTATATTTATTGACGGAAAAGTTATCACATTTTATTCATATAACTTTAGTTAAACTCATTTCAAGTACTTTATGATAACATTAGAAGTGTGTCGAGTGTTAAGTAACAAACGCTCACATTTATACGGATTTAAGAATATAATGATTAGGAAAGGCTTATTTATGTTTGTTTAATGCAAATGTTGTGGTGATATGACTAAGGAGTGGATTGTTCTTCTCTTTAAATCAGATGTCAATCTCGTCACTGAACCAAAACCCCATCAAAAGTCTAGTAAAACCTCAACAGTTAGTAATGGGAGCGAAACGAGTGCAGGAGAACACACTTTAGACACTAATTCCATAGAGAATTGCGTTGAGAGTGACGCTAATTATACGAGTTTTGGGAACTCTTTGAATGATATGAATGCTATAAATGATATGTTAGTGGAATGTGATGTGGAAGGGGATCAAAGTATTCATTCAATGACACAACACAACTGTTCCCCCGATTTAGACACTCAACAAAACCTAATGACTATTCAATTAACTGAAGTCCAGACTAAACGAGTGAAACTCGATACCAATGACTCAAATGGTTTGGACACAAGTATCGCTAATAATCATAAAAATAATATTTCGTTAGAAGACAATAAAAACGTGGAAAACGGTTCCCAATGTTCAGCCGACGACTGCAATAGTCGAAAGTCTGGTTCCGATGGCAACTCATCAGTTGCCGACAATTATCTGAACAAACATTTAGCAAATAGTTTAGACAATAACTGTTGGTATTATTTAAATGATCAGAATCACAGCCCATCCATCAGTTCTCTATTATCTAATCCATCGTTTAGTTTACTCTTAAGTAATAATAATCAGCGCTTAAGTCAAGACACGATACCATTGGCTTTAAGTCAAGTACAACAACCACCGCAACAGTCGTACGATATATTGATTTGTGGAAATTGTCGCACATTTTTCACATCTCTTCCACTTTTTATTCAACACAAACGGAGTTCAAAATGATACCATTGGCTTTAAGTCAAGTACAACAACCACCGCAACAGTCGTACGATATATTGATTTGTGGAAATTGTCGCACATTTTTCACATCTCTTCCACTTTTTATTCAACACAAACGGAGTTCAAAATGTAGATTACGTTTCGTGTGTCACTGTCAACACAAATGAGATTTGATTTGTTAAATGTATTACTCTTTCGCTTTATTCTTCTTCTTTCTCGGCTGTCATTCGTCATAATTTCCTTCATTTATGTCTTCCTCTCAAACACAAGATTTCGCATTTCCTAACAAATTATAGTTACAACTCTTTGGAACCGCTTTCGGAGCCAAACTTATGCTCAAATACTTGTGTATCGTTTTTATCAAAAGATCTTTTTTAAACAATCTTAAAGAGTCTACAAAACAGACATCGAGTCACAGAATAATGAAGCGAATGACTACTCACTTGAGTTAATATTAGCGCTAAGTCTCCCCAATTACAAGAATATTCCGATGCATAGAATCACTAGAAATATATCTATTTTTAAATCTCCAATATTTGGCAGGTATTTAAACTCAGCTGTTATTATGTCAGAGCATCGGCTCAACAGTTATTACAACATGCAAAAGTTTTTTCAGTTCATATTCTTTATAGATTTACTTTCACATAATTTAATATGCGAAACATATTTTAAAAGGAAGTTTAGGTTTTATTAATAAATACACAATCTTGATTCTATGCTATCAGTCATGAAGTGATATTTTTGATCTAAATATGGTTTTTAAGGACATTTTTAATTTCTCCTCTCATTTATCGCTTCCAAAAAATCTTTATATTTTCTTAAATTACATTTTTTGCGCTGAAAATATGGTATAATTATAAATAGTTTAATATTTAGTATATATTTCACAAAAAATGTGTTATTATTTGCAAAACAGCTTTAATGGAGTCATTAAGACAAGCATTACTTTTTAAGTAGAACTCATTTAAGATTATTTTTTCTGTAATTATCTCATTTTTATTTATTAAATATACAGTAATATTATACTATATTTGCAAATGTCAAGCTTATGCAAATAAATTATATATTTAATTATTGTTTAATAATTATAATTATCATATTTATAATTATTTATATAAGTCTAATATTAAATACAATCTAATAATTGTTTATAACTTATTTTTATTAAATATAATTTAGATTTTATTGTAAATCATTTATAGCAGTACAAAATCCGTCCAAACTTTTAGAAAGTTTGCATTACATAAAAAAGAGTGTTAAGTTAAATTAAGAATTTATAATGTAATTAAATTAAAATGTTATATCAAACTCAAATAAATTTCACGCTTAACTTCTTTAATATAATACATTATTTTTAATCAATGTTAACATTAATTGCAATTTCGAAATGTCTTTGTTAAACAAAATATTAATTAGTGATAAAATATTTGTTATATTATGTATAAATAGACTTAATAATAATAATCTTGTCATAAGTAATGAGGAATTTGTGTCTATTTTGTCGGCGTTTGTCACATAGTAGTGAACGCATTGTGTTTTGTGCTATTTTTTACATAACTTTCTTTAGTTTTCATTCTTTGAGTTTTTTGTCTCAAATTGTGGGGAAGAATTGGATCGTGAATGCGATGTCTTAACTGAGGAACTCATCTAAAACTGTGTTCTCCTTCTTCTTCTTCTTCAATGACACTGAATGACAATCATTTGGATTATTTGGATGACAAACAATGAATATTTTATGCGTTATTATCTCCACTACAGTATATATAAATAAATACTTATATGTAATATACGGAGAGACATGCCGTACGAAAAAAGCAAATTAATTATTAAGAAAAGAAATATTTCTTATCAAAATATAATCGCAAGAAAAATAAAACTTGTCGTAAAAATAGCATTTCACATTTGATATATTCGTATTATATGTCAAACAATTGTTTGCATTAACAGATTCTTACCTATTTGCTGCCAATTAATTCGCAATTAATTGTGAGAATATACTTTTTTTCAAGTAAATGCAAC